AAAAAAATTGACAGAAAAACGCGTCTTTTTTCGTTTCTAACGACCAAAAAACGCGTTAAATGTTTCAAAACCAAGACTTATTTTTGTCGTTTAAACGCGTTTTCCTTTATCTATTCGTTTGAAAAGGCATTTTTTGGAATTTCGCAATGCGTTACTTTTGCGTTAAAAACGTACAAAAACCGCGTTTTCAAACGGTCTAGAACTCGTTTTAGATAATGAGACTTGACTACCCAGTGGGACTTGATCTTAAAATAGTTCAAAGTCTGTAATAAAGGAAGTACAAAACTGATGATCTAAAACTGAAAAAGAACGAAAAGATGATATTTCTTCGATATTTCGATTGTACTTATATACTCGGCTAACCGCAAAACAAGACGGTGAATACCCAGCGGTAAAAAAAGCTCACAAAAAACCGCGTTTTTGGTCGTTTTTAACGATCATAAAACGCGTTGTAACTCATTTTTTAACGAAGCTGTTTAGAAGGAAGCGTGTTAAAACGACCAAAAGAACATGTTGGTTTTGAGACCTTTAACGCGTTTTTTACTCCTGGGTTGTTTGAAAAGACGTTTTTCGGAATTAGCGAACAATCGTTAAAAGAGCCGTTTAAATTCGTTTATCGATAACACGTTTGCTAACGATCGTTAAATTAACCGTTTTCTGGTGTTTTCTAACGACGTTAAACTGATATGACTTGAAATTTTTTTCTTTTTGTAAACGCGTTTAGAAACGACACGTTAAAACGCGTTTCAACGATCATTTTAACGTCGTTAGAAAACGCGTTCAACAAAAACGCCAGAAAACGGTTAATTTAACGATTGTTAGCAAACGCATTGACAGAGAACGCGTTATTCTAAACTTCGGAACGACAAAAAACGCGTTTAAACGGCCCTTTTAACGATCGTTCGCTAACGCGTTTTTCTTGCCGTTCCTAACGATTTCTTTTCGCCTGGGTCTTGACCCATGTGCTTGAGTTTCATACCTCAAGAAACTTATGGGCATGCGACAAGAAAGTCAAGCACATACCTTAAGCATTTTGCATGGACAAGAAATTCATGTGCATGGAGACAAATCTTGAGGTATGTGCTTGAGAAAAAGGCTTCACTAGGGTAATCACCATGTTAAGAGTGGGCAATTATGTGCTTTCCATGTGATTTGAAGGTTATCCCAGTCTTTTATCGATTAGCGAAAATCATAGAATTGAATCTGTTTTCATTATTCGAAAAACAATCATGTGTTTTCTACTAGTAAATTCAATAGAACTAACCTGAACCAAATATCAAATATATAATTGATGCGAAAACTGCTATGAAACATGGAATCGAAAATATAATATTCCATTCTTTTTTTTTCTAGAACACACAAATAAAAAATTAACCCCCTTTTCTTAATGTTATTATCTGTTAAATGAGACTTGNGATTGGAGATCACTTCACATTCATTAAACTTGATCCGTCTGTATCATACACTATGCCATTTAGGACAATCTGTTACATGAGACTTGAGCTTACATGATTTTTATCAACATAACCTGTCACAATCGGTGCACAAAACTCAGCGATTGACGCAAGCGTAGTTGCTAAGCCAACCAATATTGGTGCATAATGAGCGCCAATATCTAAATAATTAATTCCAAAACCACTCCATGTTATACCTCCACAGGCGACACTAACAATTATTATAACTACTATTACATAGCGATTGTCAACGAGAATAATAATTATCATTGCAATTGTCTGTGAGCATAAGCCTAAAAAGTAAAATAATATCATTTTTTGTTTGAGTCAAAGACTATAGCATGTGGAATAATTACCGGCCACAATGAATATTTTGCGAATAACTGTTGTAGAAAATCGGGATGTCAATAAATCAGACAGATAGCCAAAACTAATCAATGTTATGGCCATGAACAGATATGGTAAAGATGATAAAAACCCAGTCTGAAGGAGAACGTGAATGATCGATACAAAAAATACTACTATTGATGATTACATTCATACTTCTTCCAAGTCGAAATTAAGCACGTATCTCAAAAATGTTGGCAATCCAGTAAACATAATATAAAAACTCCAGTCCTGAGCAAAATGCGCGAAGACTGTAGCCCAAAATGCTGATGATAGGAGTATTTGTTTCCAGGGAATACTTATATGCTGCAAGGAAAATTCTGTTCGATAATGTCTTTAACGCTCCTAGAGTACAGACTTTAGGTGGTGATTTCGACAAACTCGATTCAATATACGTAAGTTCACTTGTTGTAATTGTCTGATGCTGCGATGGTGATTCAGTTACAAAATAGAACCATGCTGCAGTCCACAATAAAGTACTCGCTCCTATAGTGTAAGTAACAGTGCGAATGTAAAATTTACTCCAGGTCAAACATCTTAGGTGTGTCTCCTGGCGATATAGCGTTACAGTCACGCTACTCACGGTGCAATATCTAAAAGGTCACGATTGTCCTAAATGGCATAGTGTATGATACAGACGGATCAAGTTTAATGAATGTGAAGTGATCTCCAATCATCACAAGATAAACTGAGCAAAGGCTTTACAATGACACCGTCGTCTTTCATCACTTTCCATCACACTAGGATATGATTTTGTGTTCTAATATCTGGAGAAATATACATAGTGAGAAACTTTATCTCGACTAGTATTGGTTATTGCACTGACACCATAGAATCATTGAATTCTGACCACACCTTTGCCAAACATACTTTACAAAGCAATTTTATTATCTTCTATACTTATGATATGTCCTAATCAAGTTTTCAGTCGCTCTACATTTTTTGAATTTCAGTCACAGATTACTACTATGTACGTTTACATAATAGTAATAATTATTTTTCTTGTCATATTCTATCCTGATGATGACGAAAGCTCGACATAAATAGCTCAGGTGGATTATAATTAACCTAAGTGTTCTCCGTAGCTCCATTATACTCTGTATTATCTCATTTCTTATTTTCGTTCACGTCAGTTATATCGTCAATGGCTGCTTAATCGTCAATCGCAAACATCAGAAATTCTAAAATTTTCCAATATTTTGCAGTTTTCACTATCGCTAGTGCAGCTAAGGGCTCACTGAATCACAATCAGTTCTCAAAATACTTGATTGATCGCAGGTGAGCAAACAGACAAGCACACGTCGTAATTTGTAGAGCGGTAAGCGTTGGGAGTACGTCGCTGGTTCAAATTTCTTTTCCACACTTGAATGTCATTAATGCACCGTCACTCGGTATAGCGATTCGCGCTAAAACAATTTTTTATAAGTTGTGAAATTCCGTCGCATTCGCGATTTTCTCTTATAGTCGCGATATGACATGCAATAGCGCTGTGACTCCTCTGATAAATCCTCTTATCTTTGTTTTGCTTAGATTTTACTATTTTACCGGCTGATTTTGGAAAAAAATAAACACGACGATCGCGTCTTGATTTTGATATAGATCTTGTATCTCTATGTCACGAATTTACGGTAAGCATAGCGTGGATCCTATGGATAGAAATTACGAATAAATGACGAACGCTTTTGGTATGAGCGCGCCAGTTGAAATTGCATCTCATTAGTTCTAAAGCGAACGTGTCATGCGGTCACGTCTCGGATTTTTTTATACGTGATTTGAAACATTTGCATGTGAAGTCCGTCTACAAACCTGATAAATAGAAAACCCATTCCCATGACCATTTGGCAGAAATGATTCCTTAAAAACACACGTTTTATGTTGCGTTTGAGAGATATCTTTATTTTACCTCCTAAACCCATTGCTATTAATGTTCCTACATAACTGCCTAAAATTAACAATAATGCTACAGTGTGCAAACACTGAATCAGTGTTAATACAAGCGTACCAGACAACACAAATGAATTCATGCGACTTTTCTCGTTCGGTACGGCCCATTTTACCCAAAGTGCATTAAGGCACGGAAATGAAGCGCCCTATAAAAGCTACTGAAAACACTTAATAGACGAATGGTTACTGCACCGTAGTTTTCAGTGAGAAAGAAAGGCTATAATCCTATTTCTTGCAGCTTAACTTTGTAGTCGATTAACATTTGTAACGTGTTGTTCTTGCTTAAAAAAACGAAACCAGACAATTTTATTTACCTGACCGAGACCTTCCAAGATTCTAATAGCTATGAGTGCACCCGGTCCAATTATAGCAGCTATTGGAGTAAAGAGACTGAGCAAACCAGATAATCCGGTGCCATATCCAAACAGTAGTTTTCCACCAATATGGTTAGCTAACCAACCTGACGTGTTGTGAAATAATAGATTACATATCAATCACATAGTTTCAATTGATTTTCTCACCAGCCGGCAGATGACCAATACAGATACCAATGAAAATTGCACTTAAAATATACCCTTGCGTTTTCGTACTCCAATCAAAAGGATCTTCCGTGAACTACGAACGCATATATGTGGGCTTTCTTTTACACAAAGAGGTGGTAATCGAGCAGACACATCTACAAATATATGTGGAAGGAAGAAGCGTCAAAAATACACAATTTATTTTGCGCGCGTACTTTATAGAAGATCTCCAACGTGTTCTAATATAGCACGAATTATTATATTTTATATTTTTACTCACAAGAGACTGATCGAATACGCTACCTTTATGGACGTGCTGTTTTCACTTCCTGTGTCAACCATGTCTACAATGGTAATGCTGAGAGCTGCGCGTACCAAAAAAAGGTTAATGAATCCAAAAAATGCTAATATAGTTAATATATATCGTTTCGGTATGCCAGGTATGCCATGTCCGCGTTGATTTTCTTCAAATTGGGCATGTGTAACATTGTTATGTTCTCTAATTGGAATTTGGGCTTTATCCAAAATATTTCTGTCAGACGTAATTGAGTTCATATTTATGTTATTGTTTTTCTGTGTGTATGGTCTAGATCAACTGGCAAAATGCAATATATTGTATTGCTTGTTAACGAACACCTTTCTAAAAAGTATCAAATCACGCTTAGTACAGAAATAACGCAAGATATACCTTAAATTTTTAAGACAAACTTATTACACACTTAATTCAGAAATGATAAACTCATAGTTTGAATGTTCAAACTTCAAATCAAAATTCAAACTATGTTCCGTAGTATTGTGTAGGAGAATCGATAGGTAGCTTTATAGCCAATGTCACAAAAGCTCCACAAAATTTATCGCAGACAATAATAGCAGAAAATACCGACAGTAGGGCCTTTTTTTACCTGATTATCAGGAACGCATTCAAATGCTTTCTTTTCTCGTCATGGCTAGCGTAAACATTAGTTGGGAAAAAAATGTATGGCATTAATATGCCATGTGACAGTTTCATTTGCTACACCACTAGAGAATTAGGTGCTCGCGCCGAGTAGAATAGGATAAAACGTAGACGTTAGATGCAGAATTTCTAGGTGAATCCGACAGCGGGTTTCTTTTAATTTCATTTTGGTTTTGTCTCTGACGTCGACACAATCTACATGATTTTTGTCTAAATTCTGGTTCTCTCGTTGACGCTTTTTTCTAAACCAATGAGAAAAATAAAATTTAGGCAAAAATCACGAAGATTTGTCGATATCAGAGAAGAAGCAAAATTGAAATTAAAAGAAACCCGCTGTCGGATTCTCCGAGAAATTCTGCATCTAACATCTAAGTTTTATCCTATTCGACTCGGTGCGGCGTGGGCACCTAATTCGCTAATGCTATAGACAGTCCGTTGTCATGACTGCTGGCCCCTTTTTGGCCAGATATATA